ACTAAGCGAATCAATGAATGTAAATAAAAACAGAGTTGAACCTTACACTGGTGTGTCTTTCTCTGACTCTAAATCTACCCACCTCAAACGATGCATTCCAACGAGTCATAAAAAACGCTCCCTCAGACGAAACAGTCTCAATAAACTTTTAACTCATAACGCTATAACGCAAAACGAAAGATACATTAAGAATTTTTCAAACGAAGCTCTTTCAAACGTCGAGGGTAAACTTCTTTCGAGAGGCCTCAAATTTATACCAACCCCTCCAGTTCCTTACTCAAAGAAATCCTCGTTAAAGGATTTCGATAATTTTGCTAGAACAATGCGCTTAAAATATATGTTCGCAAATAAGCGGAAAACTTCTGCCCATCCCTTCCATGTCAAGTCAACCTGGCAACCACCCTTTCAAAACTCGGCTGCTCTAGAAAATTACTCGGAAGAAACCAAACTCGAACTTGCTTCAGCAGTTTTCCGGCCTCAAATTGATAACATTTCAGCGAACGAAAGAAATGCTATTAGCGCACTACATCGCAACAGCAAAATTAACCTTAAAAAAGCTGATAAAAGAACAACAACGGTCATCCTCGATACTGCACAAAAGATAGATGAAGGCTTGGAACAATTATCTAATGATAAATTTTACAAGCCTCTCCCATCTCCCATTCTGCAAGACACCGCCCGACAAGTAAACGAAATAGTTTAAACTGAATTAACTACACAGTTTGGGACACATCGACCTAATGACCCACACATAGTTAACAATCGGTCTTAAACAACCACGTATACCAGAATTTAAAACGCTGACTAAAATTCATAAGGAAACACCAGTCGGCAGACCGATCATTTCTGGGAGCAGTATTTCTAGTTTTGTAGACTCATTACTACAACCTATTGCAATAAAACGAGAGTCCTATACAAAAGACATTACCCACTTCATCAATTTTATTGAAAACACGCAAATTCCAGACAAGAAGAAGGATCGATAGAATTGACGTTGTTTGTCACTATTACGAAGATCACCATGAGCAGAAATTACCTATCCCGACAAGCGATTTACGGGAACTAATGCAGCTCATACTTCAAGAAAACTCCTTTAAGTTTGATGAAAAACACTTCGTACAAACTCACGGCATTACTAGGCCAGGGGAACTAAATTGGCGGTCGCTTTCCCCGTTATTTTCATGGCGGACCTTGAAAAAGGACTGCTAGCGGCTAGCCCACTGAAACCCTTTGTTTGGAAG